GACAAGATATTTAATGTTCAAACTGATAAACTTTAATGTTTTTTTTTTTTTTGGGAGGCTTTGTAAGATTTAAAGCATTTGAAGCACAATCACACAATAGGAGCAAGGAAAACTTATTACAGCACCTGGGAGCAAGGTGGAAATAAGACCATAAATCAATAAAAAAAGAGACAAAACTACAAAACACCTGCAGGCCCTATTCACTGTATTTAAAACTTTGACAAGGTTGCTACCAGGACATCACTATATTATGCTAGTCACCTGTGAACATCAACCTGTAAATTAGCTGCAGTAACTTAAACTGAAAGGCAACTTTCGTCTGAAGTGAAATGCAAACGAAGATACTGTCCCTTAGGTGTTACAGGATGGCTTTTGGTAATTCTTAGACAAAGCTGAACTGAATGGTAAATACTTAAAAATGGCTTGGAACACTCACAGCGGACTCCATTTTCCTGTTCATAGCGGACTGTATTGACGTCAAATGTCCTAATGTAAAACAATTCTGTCGGTCCCCCGCTGGTTGACATGTATCCTCGAACCCCCTAAAAGCAATCACTCCCAAAATCAATAAATTTGGGATCTTGCCACGCACAAGGCCTTTGCCAAATATGAAATGAATCAGTTGAAATTTGTGGCTGGGAGAGCGCTCACAAGGAAATCTCTACAGTCCTGGGGGCGGCATGACGATTTCTGATCCATAGTATCCTTGACTTGTTGTCCAGGGACACAAAAAAGCTCTTGCTGAAGACCCAAAGGGTCTACTTTCCCGTGAGTGGTCTGACACCCAAAAGCCAAACACGATAGCAATTTAAAAATCTGCAAAGAATCGTGTCTCCCAATACAACAAATGCTCTGCAATATAGTCAAAGAAACACAATTCTAATGTTTTTAAAACATTACAAAAGCAAGCATTTGTTGGTACTGTGGGGATAAGTCAGTGTAATACAGCTGATTGTCAAAAATGTTCAGAATAAAGTCTATTATGCGATTTTATGGGCCAGCTAAAATTTCCATCCACTGTACGTCACACCAGCAAGAAGCAGACTGGAGACGAGTCAGTTCACCCTTGTATATTGCACTTCAGATGCATGGATGTAGATAGATGAGTATGTATGGTTTTCCTGAAGTTAGAAATGAGAAAGGATAAACAGTGGGCTTCAAAATTACTGGCATCCCAGACTGCAATGCACAAATAATACTTAATAAATAATACAAAAAATATTTATACAGAAACTCTAAATAACAACATATGAGAAATATTGTACAATATTAATTTTCCAATGGAACTGACCAAAATCATTTGGTGATTTAATTAAAAATCAAAATCATCCATATCAGCATTTTACAATTAATGGAACCCTTAAAGATTGTTGTAAATAACATCTACCAAAATGAAACCAGGTGTTAAATTCCACTTGCTTAAGTTTTATCGAAGTGTTAAGTATTATTGAGCCATTAAATCACTTCCTGTTTTACAGAGCATAAACGATAGTTACTGGGTATGTACCTCCAGTTATACAAGTATGGGTGAAGCCCTCTAACAGCTCCGCTAGTGCCAATCCCTTGCTGCACTGCAGCCTGCCTGAAGAAATTTGCATATCCATCCCCCTCCTGGCTATATAATGGTGAGACCCCTTTCATTTGACTCCCGTTTACGAAAAAACTGAAGCCTCGAAGAAAAAACGGTGGTTGGAGGGCTCCGCCCATACTCGTATAACTGGAGTTACATACCCAGTAACTATCGTTATACTTTCTATGGGCTCCGCCCTCTAACAGCTCCGCTAGTGCCACAAAGGGCGGAGCCTTGATGAGTTCCAGCCCAGCTGTGCTCATGTGTAGGAGGGGAGTATCCTGGCATCAGTTCCGGTCCTGTTCCTTGCCCAGAGCAGCTTTTAATACAGCCTCAGACAAGGAACCAGCCGTCATATCTCTGAGATAAAATCGAACGAAGGGGGGTGGTGATGACCAGGAAGCAGCAGCACAGATGTCACCAACAGCAACACTCCTATACAAGGCCCAAGAGGCTGCCACACCGCTTGTTGAATGAGCACGCAGCAGTGCTTCCCATAGTGACGTAAGCCTCAGAGATAGCGTCGCATAGCCAGTGAGCCAGACGCTGAGTTGATACAGGTCGTCCAGATTCAGCTGCACAATAACAGATGAACAGCTGCTCTGTCTTACGACTTGCCGATGTACGGCGTAAATAGCAGGCCAAGGCCCTTACTGGGCAAATCAAGTGTAGTCTGCTATCTTCCTCGGAAGTATGAGATGGAGGATTAAAAGCCACCAAGACCACTGTCCTAGAACTGAAGGACGTTGTAATGTTCTTAGGCATGAAAGCCGGGTTAGGATGCAGGATAGCCTTATTCGCACTCAAAACCAGACATTGTGTTACTGACAAGGCACACAAGTCACTTAATCTCTTTGCAGAAGACAGAGCCACCAGTAGGGCTGTCTTCAAGGGCAGAAGCCGCATGGAAACATTGTCTAATGGCTCAAATGGTGGCTTACAAAGACCGTTAAGGACTATATGGAGATCCCACTGCGGCACTTTGATTCGCCGCGGTGGCCTCAGCCACAGAGCGCCCTTTAAAAATCGCAGCAAAAGGGGGTGCGAGAACACAGGATCCCTCAGTTGTCCTTCGTGACATGCAGAGATAGTTGCTGCATACACCCTCGCAGTGGACACAGCCCTGCCAGAATCCAAAAGAGATTGCAGGAAAGTCAAGATGATGGTGAGAGGAGATGTCATGGGGTTGACATTACGCGCATTATACCAACCAGAGCAAAGTTCCCACCGTGTTGTGTACGATGCTACCGTGGAAGCCGCCCTGGCCTCTTGGATGGTAGCAGTGACATTTACAGAAAGACCACATCTTTCTAACCGCTGCCTCTCAGGAGCCAAGCCATTAGAGGCTGACCCAGGACAGGCGGGGCCTTGACCTTTCTATTTGCCTGTGAAATTGCCCAGTCCACCATGGGGAGGGGCCACAGGTCCATCACTGCTAGACGCACACCTTCTAGACTGAGTTGTGGCGATCCGGAGCTATAAATATCACCATCCGGCCTTCCTCCTGATTCTCAGCAGAAGTGGTGGGATCAGCGAAGTTGGGGGAAACGCATACAGCGTTCCCTGAGGCTAACCCTTCTGGGCTAAGGTATCCACACCCAGTGGAGGATCGTCCTCCACCCTGAGTGAGCACCAAAGGGGGTACAAAGTGTTCTCTTTGGAGGTGAACAGATCCGCTACAGGGAGGCTAACTGGGCCCACACCTGTTGAGCAATGCGAGGGTGCAGACACCACTGTCCTGGCACGGACCCACCCCGCGACATGAGGTCTGCTCCCTGATTCAAGGCCCCTGAAATGTGGCATGCCCTCAGAGACCCGAGGTGGATCTGACTCCACTGCAGCAGTCTCCCTGCGAGGGCGCAAAGCGTCCTTGACCGCGCCCCACCTTGACGGTTAATGTAAGCTACCACGGTGGAGTTGTCGCTCCTCACCAGGACATGTTGGTCCCGTAGGAGCTCCAGAAAATGAAGCAAGATGTTCGAAACTGCAACCACTTCCAGGGCATTTATATGCTGGGACTTCTCGGAGTCCCACCAGCCAGCCCCCTCCCCCCAGCCTTGTAAAGACCTGATCTGTAAAGACCTCGATCCAGCGCGCCAGCTGGCCCAACGGAGCCCCTCGGGTCAAGTTTTCCACACTGGACCAGAAAACCAGACGAGGCATCACTGATTGCAGCAAAGTGAGCATGCAGAGATTCCGGCACCAGGAACTCAGCTTCAGACGCTGGAACCACATTTGTCGGAGCTGCATGTGGAGAAGGCCCAATGGTACCACCACGTGTGTGGTCGACATCATGCCCAACAAGGACATGACCGTCAGTGCTGACACCTTCTGGGACGACATTACCCGTTGTACCAGCTGCAGCAATGCCCTGCGGCGCTCATCGGACAGGCGCGCATGCCCTGATGCTGCATCCAAGGTGACTCCCAGGTACGCCACATTCTGCGACAGTGTCACCATGCTCTTCTCCCAATTTATCGTAGACCCCAGCTGCAATATGTATTGAATCAGGCGCTTTGCTTGTTCTATGGCTTTGACTGGCGAGTTAGCCGAAAGGAGCCAGTCGTCCAAGTACTGTAGGACTCGCATCCCCCCCCCCCCCCACAACGGTTCCAAGGCCAAGTCCCTGCACTTGGAGAACGTTTGGGGTGAGAGCGAAAGCCTAAAAGGCAATCTGGAGTACTGAAAAACAGAACCCTGAAAGGCAAAGCATAAGAATTTCTGATGGCGACGCCAGAAAGCCACATGAAAGCAAGTATCCTTCAGGTCGACTGATACACACCAGTCGCCCGGCTGGACTGCTTTCAACAGCTGCTGGACTGTCAGTATTTTGAAGGGTTTCCGTGCTAAGTAGCCTTTGAGCACCCGTAACTCCAGTATGGGGCGCATCCCTCCCGACTTCTTGGGAACCAGGAAGTACTTGAAGTAAAAACTGCTGTGAGCGTCCGACACTGGTACTTGCACAATGGCGCCCTTCAGCAGTAAGTACTGAATCTCCCGTGAAAGGACCTCCGATTGTGAGCCGCCGGCAGATTCGAGGATGCCTTGGAAGGGGGGGAGGCATCCTTGAAAATTGGAGTGAGTAGCCCTGGCTTAACGTTCTGTTGAACCATGGGGTAAACGACACAGCTGTCGCCACACTTGCAGTCTTTCTGATAGTGGGCGCGCCTGAGAGCACTCATAATGAAATTTTGAAAGCTGATTAAGGCCCTTTCTGCAACTGGGGTTGTGGGGAGAAACCCCACCCCAGCCAAAGGGGGGCCGTCTCTAAAAGGGATGTACGGAATCTCCAGTGCGGGAAGCGCTGGAAATTCTGGGAAAAGAGAAACAGAATGTTCTTATTTGTGTTGCCCACGACAGCCTTCATTAAATGAAGACACTTCCATTTGCAAATAAACAGGAAACTGTACTGGAACAACACAGTTTGACACAGCGCACCTGGGATTTGAACCCAGGTTGCCCGCGCCATAGTCTAACGATCTAACCATTGTGCTATCAGCCAGGGCCCAGTTTTCATTGTATCTATAGCTCTGAATGCAAGTACAGATGTTTGTATGTTTTTGATGCATTTTGTAGGTTTCCCCTTGATTAGTTTAAGTAGTGAAGAGCATTCGCGAGAATCTTATTTAGAGAGTAGTCATAATGTCAGGTGTTGAGCGCTAACCAGCCTTTAAATTAACGGAGTTTTGAACAACCGGGCCCAGGTAGTTAATTTCAGCGCTCATAGCCACTTAACCATGTGAAGGTGAGTTAACAGAAGTTAACGCACTCATATTTGGTCAAAATAGACGCGGACCTGGATGAAAACTGCGCTGCAGTAACCATCACAGGCTCATTGGAAAATGGCGCCAATAGTGGCTCATTTGCATATCCTGCATTTGCCCACGAACACGCTCTGCTTAACCATTTTTCGGCAGAGGAGCGTGACGTTATGAGGGGAGCAGTTGAAGATTTTTTTCTGAGGGGTCAGAAAGAACCGGCTGGAATTTTCTGAGGAATGGTGTGCTTAACTGAATGTATGGGTCTGACATATTCAGTGTAAGGGTGGGGACGTGCATTGGGCTGTCCTTTTAGTGACAAGGTATCGTCTTTATTTAATACGTTACAGACACAAACAGAAACGCACATCCCCGTGCACCATCATTTGTTACGGTGGGGGCCACACCATGCCGCTGTAGGGGTTGTGACTTCCCCGCTTGTTTCCCATATCGCTCTGCCAGACAGGGAGGCATTGCAGGCTGTGCACCGGGCTCACGGACTGGCAGCAGGCGGTATGGAGCACTGGGAGGCGGCCTCCTCTTCGCAGCCGAGGGGCGCATCTTCCCGCCGGCTGGAGTGACCATGGAAAATGGCGTTCGCGGCTGGTTTTTGGACGAACACCTTTCCACCTGCTCCTGTGTGGCAACGTTGAGTAGTGGACCAAACAGAGAGGATGGGCACAGTAGCGCGTTGAGCAGCAGTGCCTTCTGGTGTTCTTTTAGAGATGTCTGACTGAGCCACATCTGATGTAGGGAGACTTCTGCCAGAGACATGACCTGCCCAACATACACTGAGGCAGCTTGGGCTGCAGTACACCAGCGAGCCGGTGGGCGTCCTGCCAAGCCATGTCATCCCCTTCCCGACGGGTGTGGAGGAGCGCCAGCTCTGCCAGAGCACTTCCTGTCAAGCCGACGATATTCATGGGAGATGCCGCCTGTGCACTGCCAATGAACATCTTGTCTGCCAACTTAGCCTCCTGCTTACGTCTGGGCGGGAGGGGTCGTTGCTGGGACCGGACTGTGGGCTCCAGCCGGAGCTGGTCTAACAGCGGTGCGTCTACAGGTGGGGCGCCGCCGTGGAACTCAGTCATCCAGCCCGCCACAGCTGTGCAGGGGAGGAAACGCATGGCTGGGAGTGAGACTTTTCCGGAGATGCCCACGCGCTCTGTACGAAGTCTTGGAAAACTGGATAACATGGGGCCACTGCCACAGGTGCCGACAGGCGCACTTTCTTGTATGCGCCGAACTCTATCGGCTTTGTGGGGTCGCTCACAGGATCGGAGGGAGTAGAGGACAGCTGCACGCCCGACAGGATGGCCGCCAGTTCCAGGACTGCCGGATAGTCTTCTCTCAGTTCTGGCAGCGCCCATTCATGCAGGGGCTCTTGGCATCTGCCCAGGTCCAATACATCATCCTCGGAGTCAGAGGGCTCGCTAACTAGCTCACTAATGGCTCTGTCTAGAGGCACATTAGTTGAGAAGTGAGCCGCTCTTTTCTCCCGGATAGGCATGGGGAGCGCAGCACACACTGTGCACGCTGGCTGCTCCTGCAATGGTTGGCGAGCGTGGCGCGCTAAGGCAGATGACATACGGAAGCGCAGGTCAAGCACCCAGCTAGGCAGCTCTCACAGGTCTACGGCGGCACCGCCAAGGCGGCGGATGGATCTCCCACGCACTACTCCTTCGGTGCGACGGTCGGAGCTTGGCTCAAAGACTGCGATGGCCAGCTATCTTCTTGCATTATTTTCTTCAGGGCTGAAGATTTAAGGGAGTCGAATGAAAGGGGTCTCACCATTATGTAGCCAGGAGGGGGATTGATATGCAAATTTCTTCAGAAGGGCTGCTGCGCAGCAAGGGATTGGCATTAATGGAGCTGTTAGAGGGCGGAGCCCATACGAAGTATAACATGAGGTAACACAAATGCTATATCCCTTTGTCATCCAACACCATGAAGAAAACAAAACAACTGTCGGTTCAATAGAGGCTGATGGTCATAGACCCTCATAAATTTGGTTCAAAAAAATTCACAAACGATTGAATATGCCTCTCTGCACTGTCAGAGCAATACTTAAAAAATTCCAAAGATATTGAACAGTTGAAAACCTCAAGGGTAGAGGATGCAACTGCATTTTGCCCCCAGGATACTGAGGAGGATGGTGAGCGAAGCAACCAAATCCATAAGAATCACTGTGAAGGAGTTGCAGGCCTTAGCGGCATCTTGGGGTCACCAGGTTTCAAAAAGCACAATCAGGCGCCACCTGCACAACCGCAGGCTCTTTGGAACAGTTGCCAGAGGAAAGCCTTTCCTGACCAGAAGACACAGAAGCAAGCATTGGGAGTTTACCGAATATCATTTAAATTATGACTGGAACAAGGTGCATTGGTCAGATGAGACAGCATTGGCATGTTTGGTGTCGAAACATAGATCCATACAAGGAAATGCACTTCATACCCATGATGAAATATAATCATGGGTCAGTCATGTTTTGGGGCTGCTTTAATTCAAGAGGTCCAGGGGCATAGGTTAAGATTAATGGCATAATGAATTCCACCAAGTGTCAGGATATTTGGCTGACAATCTGGTTGCGTCCGCCAGAAGGCTGGGACTTGACCATTGGGGGACAAGACGATGACCCAAAGAATATCTCAAGATCTTCACAGAAATGGTCCTGTGACAACACAATCAACATTCTACAATGGCCATCAGTCGCTAGACCTCAATCCAATAATAAACCTGTGAGCTTAGTTAAAGAGGGCAGTTCATACCTGCAAACCCGAGAATGTGAAGGATCTTAAAAGGATCTGTGCTTCAACCTTGTCAAAAATGACAGGAAAAGACTCTATGCTGTTATCCTTGCCAGAGGTGGTTGCACTTACGACTAAATCAATGGTATCAATAATTATCAAAACCTTGATTTTATTGAAATTTATTTTGTATAAAATGATTTTTATGATTTTGGATGTTCCCATTGAAGCATTAATAAAGTATTTTGCACATTGCTATGTTCCATTCTCTATAATTATATTGTTTATATATTTTTGTATTGCCAGTCAGGGGTGCCAGTAATTTTTGAGCCCACTGTATCAAAGTAAACTATTGTAAATGCATGGGAATCTACAAACCCCAATTCCAACTAGAAAAGTGCAGTTCCAAGGGAAACTGCGTGGGCAAGCTGGAAGCCGGCGATAATGTGAAGTTCGGATTGCTGACAATGTGATGTTAAAGCTTCTTTGAATGAAAATTATTCATGACAGTGGGATATTGTATAGTTTAAAGGGATAGTTCTGATTTTTTGACATGAAGTTGTATGAAAGCACTCATTTAGGAAGACGTCCCCAAAATGCAACGTTACGACACATCAAACCTGCTTCAGATATTTATTTGACATAAATTGATGACGATTCCTACTTAAACATTGCCATAAAAATACACAGGCGCCATAAGAAAAAAATTGTATGAGAATTAAGTAGTTTATTGCAAAATTGCATCAATATTGCCTACTCCAGCCTTAAACCCGGGCTATTTTAAAACTCAGGAAAAAGTCATTTCAAGTGATGAACGAAAAGCGACTGGGGACACCACTTTCATTTCTTTGTACTTAACTAGCTCTATTTTGATACCAATATTTTGCCTATTTTAGATACAATAATAAATATATTTAGCTAATGCAATCAGTTGCTGATAGCTATATGCTGCAATAGGATCTCAAGCAATTTTTTTCTGCTTTGCCATTTTTACTGTTACATGTTCTCTTGGACGCACCCAGCTAAAAAGACTGTTCTTTCCAGCGCTCAATGTGCTGTCCTGGAGCTGGTTTGAGCGACAGTACCAACTACGATACCGGAAATTCTTTCACTGAGTTTGATGCAGAATTATTCTTTTACAGTCATATCTATCTTTGTCACCGAACAATGATAATGTCGAGGCCTGGAAAAAGGCCAGCAGAGGGCAGAATCGAGCCGCAAATGATCCATATCTAAGATATTTGAGCTAATGGCTGAATCATTTAGTCCAATTGAGATTTTAGCGAAGGCGTTTCTTACATATTGCGGCTTCTAACTCAAAGATGCTAAGTCCAATCTAAGCAATGGAGGTACCATACAAAAGAGGAGAGTCTGCTGAGTAAATTAAGTCAAAATTGTGTTCGTAGTGCCAAAAATATGGGAACACGAGCAAGTTAGAAAACTGTGCGTTTAGCCTTTGCAACCTGAATTTTCTTGTCTCATTTAACACTGGAGTTAATGGAGTTTCGGTGAGAGGTCCCGTCGCTTTTCGGGTCATACAGCCAGAACTGTTAGTCCGATATCTTCCATAGTTACATTTTCGTAACCAGCACAACTTTTGCTACAACTTGGATATAAAAATATTTATGCGGAGTGAAAACTATGGGAGTTAGAGCAAGTTTAAGAGAGGACTTCTTGACCGTTTTGCAGCTGTTTGCCACTCTAGCCGTGATGTCGTCACACTCTTAAGTTCCCAGAATTGTAAAAAAAAAATTTTTTTAAATTATAGAAGTTACAAAAAGTTAAACGGTAAACAAATTATCCAAGCTCCAAGCTTAGCTTAACATTTTCCAATTTGAATGACATCTCTAGCTAAAAGTATGACAGTCAAAAATAGCTGAAAATAGCAACATTTTGAAAAAATTTATTTCATTGTTTCTTATGGGACAAAAATATTGAAATAAAAATTAATAACTCAAAAATTATAAAAGATATCAAGATGATAAATAATAGCAACAAG